CCTGGGTTCAGGCAATTCTCCTGCCTCAGCCTCCTGAGTAGCTGGGATTACAGGCATGCGCCACCATGCCCAGCTAATTTTTTGTAGTTTTTTAGTAGAGACGGGGTTTCACCATGTTGACCAGGATGGTCTCGATCTCTTGACCTCGTGATCCACCCGCCTCGGCCTCCCAAAGTGCTGGGATTACAGGCTTGAGCCACCGCGCCCGGCCCCTCATTTTTGTTTTTTGAGTTACAGCAAGCACCAGATATTCAGTTTTGAGAAGATGAAACTTACTGGAGGTGTTTGCAGTACAATCTCATGTAGAAACTGAACAACCTCATACTGTTCCCTTGTTATCTTGACTAACGCTGAGTTTCACTGAATTACCCTGAAATTTAAAATATTCCAAGGCAGTTGGGAGTTCCTCCATGGTGCCCTGATACATCTTGTTACATGATTTGGTAGCCACAGGACTAGCAGGTTTATTCAGATCACCTTTTCAGAAAGTTTTCTAGTGCTACAGCTGATCGCAGAAGATCAAAATAGCTTATGGTTTCCCTGAGCAGTGAGTATGTGTGAGGTGAGACACAGAGCTTGGTGTCAGACATTTGCAGGCAGGGTGTTTGATACCTAAGAAGGTATCAAACTAAGAAGGAAAAACTGCTTAATTTATGAACTTAGGAACTACTTTTTTCCTTACCATAGTAGAACTTTGATGTCTCATTCCTCACGTATTACAAATAGATTTTTTATTTTTTTGAGTTGGAGTCTCTGTCACCCAGGCAGCTGGAGTGCAATGGCGAATCTCAGCTCACTGCAATCTCTGCCTTCAGGTTCAAGCAATTCTGCCTCAACCTCCCGAGTAGCTGGGATTATAGGAGCCCACCATCATGCCCAACTAATTTTTGTATTTTTGGTAGAAGATGGGGTTTCACTGTTGGCGAGGCTGGTCTCTTTGGTCAGGCTGGTTTTGAACTCCTGACATCATGATGCGCTCACCTCAGCCTCCCTCACTGCAACCTCTGCCTCCAGGGTTAAAGCAGTTGTCCTGTTTCAGCGTCCTGAATGGCTGGGATTACAGGCACCCACCACAGCGCACAGCTAATTTTTTTGTATTTTTAATAGAGAAAGTGTTTCATCACATTGACCAGGCTAGTCTCAAGCTCCTGACCTCAGGTGATCCACCCGCCTCAGCCTCCCCAAGTGCTGGGGATTATGCGTGAGCCACCACGCCCAGCCCCATTTGTAGTTTTAACGTATTAGCAAATTTGTGTAAAGGGTCAGTCATTAAATATTAGGTATTACAGGCCCCAAGTATCTCTGTCTCATTCTTTTTTGAGATGGTGTCTCATTCTGTTGCTCCAGGCCTGGAGAGCAGTGGCATGATCCCAGCTCACTGCAACCTCTGCCTTCTGAGGATTTTTTTTTTTTTTTTTTTTAGGTGGAGTTTTGCTCTTATTGCCCAGGCTGGAATGCAGTGGTGCCATCTCAGCTCACTGCAACCTTCGCCTCCGGGGTTTAAGCGATTTTCCTGCCTCAGCCTACCGAGTAGCTGGGATTATAGGCATATGCCATCACACGTGGCTAATTTTGTATTTTTAGTAGCGACACAGTTTCTCCATGTTGGTCAGGCTGGTCTCGAACTTTGATCTCAGGTGATCCTCCGCCCTGGCCTCCCAAAGTACCGGGATTACAGGTGTGAGCCACTGTGGCCGGCCTTGGTTTTTTAATATTTAAAAATGCAGGAATCGTTTTTGGCTCATGGCCTAACCACAGGTTTTGATCATTTAAATTTGTTTTATTATCTGGGACATGATTATATTGTTAGCTTGCTAAGGCTTTCATGAAGTATCAAACATTGGGTGGCTTAAATAGCAGAAAAAATTTATTTCCTTGTATTTCCATGAGGCTGAAAATCCAAGATGAAGGTGTCAGCAGGGTTAGTTAAGACCTTATTTTCAAATACAATCACATTCTTAAGGTGTACTGAGGGTTAGGACTTCAATGTATTAATCTTCGGGAAGTAATGATATAATTCTAGATTGCTTAATTTGAGTTTGAGGAAAGGAGAGTGATTGTTCTCTGGGATTTCAGTGAAGTTAATATGAAAGTAGAGATCTGATGTACCTGTGTTTCGTTTGTTTTGAGACAGAGTCTCTGTTTCCCAGGCTGGAGTGCAATGGCATAGTGTCAACTCACTGCAGCCTCCACTTCCGGGGTTCAAGTGATTCTTGGGCCCCAGGCCCAACCCCCAACTAGTTGGGACTACAGGCCTGTGTCACCACGCCCAGCTAAGTTCTTTTTTTTTTTTTTTTTTTTTTTTTTTAGACGGAGTTTCGCTCTTGTTGCCCAGGCTGGAGTGCAATGGCGCGATATTGGCTCACCGCAACCTCTGCCTCCTGGGTTCAGGCAATTCTCCTGCCTCAGCCTCCCGAGTAGCCGGGACTACAGGCACGCGCCACCATGCCCAGCTAATTTTTTGTATTTTTTGTAGAGACGGGGTTTTACCATGTTGACCAGGATGGTCTCGATCTCTTGACCTCGTGATCCACCAGCGAGGCCTCCCAAAGTGCTGGGATTACCGGTGTGAACCACCGCGCCCAGCTTTTGTATTTTTAATAGAGATGGAGTTTTGGTATGCTGGCCAGGGTGGTCTTAAGCTCTGGTGGCCTCAAGTGATCCGCCTGCCTTGGTCTTCCAAAGTGCTGGGATTACAGGTGTGAGCCACTGTACCCAGCCAAGTAATTTTTTATTATAGGACTAGATAAGGCTAACTCTCCTAACCATTGTTTGGTTTTTAAATCCCTCATGTTATGAAATTGGAATCATTCTGAAACTAAATATTGTTAGAGCCCTATTTTTGCTTTTGAGACAGAGTCTTGCTCTGTAGCGCAGGCTGGAGTGCAGTGACACGATCTCTGCTCACTGCAACATCCACCTCCCAGTCTGGTTCAAGCAATTCTCCTGCCTCAGCCTCCCGAGTGGCAGAGATTATAGACACGTGCCACTGTTCCCAGCTAATTTTTGTATTTTTAGTAGAGATAGGGTTTCACCATGGTAGCAGGCTGGAGTTGAACTCCTGACCTCGTGATCTGCCTGCCTTGGGCTCCCAGAGTGCTAGGGTTATAGGCGTGAGCCACAGCGCCTGGCCATAGAGCCCTGTTTTAACTTGGAATATAGCTGTTAGGGTAAAACTGTAGTTAATGTAGTGAGCTGCCCCAAAATAATGCTATAATGGTATAGAGAAATATGTTTACTTAACAGTAAATGTTGAAGGTTAATATGTAAATGAAATCAATTCCAGCTTGATTTTCCTTACTTTATTCTTTTATAGGCAGCCTGCTTCTGCAAAGTGGTACGATCGAAGGGACTATGTCTTCATTGAATTTTGTGTTGAAGACAGTAAGGATGTTAATGTAAATTTTGAAAAATCCAAACTTACATTCAGGTAAATTAAACTTTTTATCTAATGATGTAAAATAGTTATTCACACACTGAATAACTTTGACTTGCTTGCTTTTTCATTGATCTTAGACTCTCTGAAGAGACTTAATTCTTTTCTTTTTTATTTTATACAGTTGTCTTGGAGGAAGTGATAATTTTAAGCATTTAAATGAAATTGATCTTTTTCACTGTATTGATCCAAATGTAAGTAGTCTTGATGCTTTAATCCAGATTTAAGTTGTGAGGAAATGGACATACTTCAAGTACTGTTTTTAGCAGTAAGCATTGGTTCTGTTGTGTTGTTTTGTTTTGTTTTGTTTTGTTTTGTTTTGAGACAGCCTCGCCTTGTTGCCAGGCTGGAGTGCAGTGGTGATCTCCGCTCAGTGCAACTTCCACCTCCTGGGTTCAAGCGATTTTCCTACCTCAGCCTCCTGAGTAGCTGGGACTATAGGCGTGTGCCACCACGCCCAGCTAATTTTTGTATAGAGATGGGATTTTACCATATCGGCCAGGATGGTCTTGATCTCTTGACTTTATGATTTGCTTGCCTTGGCCTCCCAAAGTGCTGGGATTACAGGCATGAGCCACCGCACCCAGTCTGTTTTTTGTTTAGAGACAGTTTTGCTGTCGCCAGGCTGGAGTGCAGTAGCACAATCAGCTCACTGCAACCTCTGCCTCCTGGGTTCAAGCGATTCTCCAGCTTTAGCCTCCCGAGTAGCTGGGATTACAGGCATGCACTACCATGCCTGGCTTTATTTTGTATTTATAGTAGAGACAGGTTTTCTCCATGTTGATGAGGCTAGTCTTGAATTTCTGATCTCAGGTGATCCACCTGCTTTTGCCTCCCAAAGAGCTGGGATTACAGGTGTAAGCCACCATGCCCAGCTGAGGCTTGTCATCTAAGAATAGAATCAGTAGGCCAGGCACAGTAGCTCATGCTTGTAATCCCAGCAGTTTGGGAGGATGAGGCGGGCAGATCACAAGGTCAGGGGTTCAAGACCAGCCTGACCAACATTGGGAAACCCTGTCTCTACTAAAAATACAAAAATCAGTTGGGCATAGTGGTGTGCTCTGTAATCCCAGCTATTCAGGAGACTGAGGCAGGAGAATCGCCTCAACCCAGGAAGCGGAGGTTGCGGTGAGCTGACATTGTGCCACTGCACTCCAGTCCGGGCAACAGAGCACAGCGCTATCCCATGTTGGTCAGGCTGGTCT